CCACAATGCCTGGCTATTTTTTTGTTGCAGTTGTCATTGTTGTTTAGCTGGCCAGGGCCAGGTTCGAACCCGCCACCCTCGGTGTCTGTGGCTGGCATCCTGACCATTGAGCTGTGGGCGCCCAGCCTCAAGAGTCATTTTCTCCTATTCTACATGACAAACCATTTCTCCATCAGACTGTGGTGTGTGATGAGAAGTGGATTTGATACGACAACCAGTGATAAACAGCTCAGTGGCTGGACAGACAGGAACCTCCAAAGCACTTCTCAGACCCAAACTCACACCAAGAGATCAAGGTCACTGTCTGGTGGTCTGCTGCCGGCCAGGCCCACTACAGCCTTCTGAATCCCAGCGAGACCATCACGTCTGAGCATCTGCTCAGCACATCCTTGACAGGCACCGACAGCTGTGACCCTTACAGCCGATTCTTCACCACAATCCTCGACCTCACGTCACACAACCAATGAATGCTTCAAAGTTGAAGGAATTGGGCTACACTGCAGTTCTGCCTCATCCACCACATTCTCCTGACCTCTCACCAACCACCACTTTTAAGCATCGTGACAACTTTGCAGGGACAATGTTTCCACAACCAGCAGGATGAAAAAAATGCTTTCCAAGAGTTCCCCAAATCAAAAAGCACGGATTTTTACACTATAGGAATGAACTTATTTCTCATTGGCAACAATATGTTGATTGTAATGGTGCCTATTTTGATTAAAATGTGTTTCAGCCTAGTTCATTTATAATTTATGGTCCAAAACCAAACTGCTTTTGCACTAACCATATAGAAGATCTATTTTGTGTCCATTTTTTAACTCCCTAAGTCTACATAATGCACACATATTTCACCATCAAGAACATTTTTTTTTTAGGAGACAGTATCACTTTGTCACCCCCAGCAGAGCACCGTGGCATCACAGCTCACAGCAACCTCCAGCTCTTGGGCTTAGGCAATTCTCTTGCCTCAGCATCCCAAGTAGCTGAGACTACAGGCGCCTGCCACAATGCGTGGCTATTTTTGTTGTTGTTGTTGCAGTTTGGCTCGGGTCGGGTTCAAACCCACCACCCTTGTATATGGGGCTGGCACCCCACTCACCCAGAAATCATCTTTAAATGGCCAGGTGCAGTGGCTCACACCTGTAATCCCAGGACTCTGGGGGCCTCACAAGTTCAAGCCAGCCTGAGGGAGAGAGTGAAAAAATAGAAAAACTAGCCAGGCATTGTGGCCTGTAGTCCCAGCTACTTGGGAGACTGAGACAACAGGATTGCTCAAGCCCAAGAATTTGAGGTTGCTATGAGTTATGACGCCACAGCACTCTACCGAGGACACAGTCTCTCTCTGCCTTAAGTGGGGAAAAGAAAAAATTTTTCTCTGAACATGCCCACTAACAGAGATAGACCTGCACACATGCTTGTGCTCAGACTTTCCTTTTCACCAAACGGCTACACAGGCACAGGCAGAACCGACTCAAAGCATTGTGCTCATGTAGGGAAGAGACTGCCCAGCCTTCTTTCCTAAAAATGTAACAGAAATAACCTCTTATCTGGAAATGTCCAGAATTGGTGCTCAGATGAGGGGGAAGACAATTTTAGAGCCTTGGCACATGCCTCAAAGTAATTAAGACAGTTTAGCTGTGTGGCACTAATGTGCAGGGTCCTCAACTGGGACGAGTCAGCTGCTGAGTCGGCTGCTAAGCAGGACAGGCAGTGGCGGCAAAAACACCCGGAAGGCCAGATAAAGGTCCTAGGCAGGCTGCATGTGGCCCGAGGGCCGTAGTTTGAGAATGCGTCGTCTAGAGTTTGCTGGACTCTGTGTACAAAGCACTGTTCTGGGTAACTTGCACCTCGTTTCACCTTTTGAGGTAGCCATCTACTTTTATACCTTAGGAACCTGGATTCCAAGGTCACACAGCTTGGAAATCTGGCTGCAGAACCAAGCACAGAGCAATGAAATACTAACTAAATGCATTTTTGTGGGTTTTTTTTTAATGGGGGGGGGAGTGGTCAGCATTTTAATTGGTCATTCTCAGAGTCACAAGAATCAAAATGTTGGAAAGAGGAAAAACAAGACTGTGTAGCCCAGAAGTGATAAACTCAATCTGCTGCTGTGCTTTGTACTAAAACCACCACACTCTAACCCGCGGCTCGCTACTGCATAGATACAGAATGGAACAGAAAAATCACTGAGTTTCAACCTCAGAGCTAACGCAAACACAGTAAGATTCTTTTAATTTGCCAGATATCTTTTTAATGAGAATTATAAAAGACCAAAAACATACTTTTTTTGCAAACTGCCTTTTTTAAACAAATGATTTGCTTTTTATTACAAATACTGTGCATGACGATACCTTCTTTTGCAAAACCAATAAATAAGAACAAATTTTAAACATGTGATTTGTCCAAGGTATTTGAAAAAAGAGAAAAAAGGCCTGATTTTTTTTCAATATTTAAAAATCAATTTATTTCTTAACTTTTCAAAGATTAAGTTTGAAGGTATGACTCAATTGTAGAACAGAAAGAGAAAAAGAGAAAGAAGGAGACCATCTTAGAGCTGCTTTCAACAAGCTTTTGATAACTTTTCTGATGTCACCTTTCTCTTCTGGAACTTCACCAAATAACTGAATTTAAAATAATTCTAATGAACTGATTAATGGGAGACAGAGAATTAAGTATGGAACGCAGTATGAACTTTACCATCAACAAGAATGCATGTCAAAGGATGCTAACTTTAAAATGGTACAAAAGAAAGGTGAGGAAAAACCTGAATTACAAGAAAAGTAAAGTCAAATTTAATGAAAAACTAGAATAAAAATTAGCAAATGAACACACACACACACACAAAAAAACAAAGCAGCACTATGTAATGACTCACAAAGGGGAGAAGCAGTGGCCCAAGGCCACGCAAGATGGCTTGTCAGTTCAAGAGAAGAAACGCACACACACACTCAGACACGCAAGCACACACATTCACGCGCGCACACACACGCACTCACACACACACACAAAAAAACCAACCCAGTATTTTTCAGCAATACAATCAATCTACAACAAACACAAAACCCAGAATTATTGTACAATGCTTCCTTTCTTAATACAAAAGATGCCCATCTTGGGTGTATATATATATTTATATTTTTCAGTGGTTTACTGTTGACTTATTTTTAAATATATTAGTGTTACTACATGCAACTGCTTCCTGTATTTAACAGCCTTTCTTTTATTTAACCTTCATGTATCCACCTTCCACCCACCAAAAGAGTTTCAGGCTGGCAGGCAGATGGGTGCCTTATTTCCTGTGAAATTGAATGCAATAGTTCTAAACACTGGCCAGAAAATGTCTGATTGCCATTTCAACACATGGAAATAGTTACATTGATGCCTAAATTGCCATTTTCTGCAAAAAGCTGTGCAATGCTGGTGTCAAAGACTAGGCAGTCACTATTCATAATGGCTGTTGCAATTCCCTCATGAATGGACCGAGGAGTCGCTTCCCAAGTCAATCGCCGTCTATGCCCATTTAGCTCAAGTCGGTAAGCAAAATTTTCCGCTTGCTTGCGTGTTCCTATCAGCTGTACAATTGCAAAGAACTGCTGGTGACCATCGTATTTTTCCTGTTTCTCCAAGACTAACATGAAGTGAAAGCCAAAACAGGACTGCATCATCACCCAGTCAACAGCACCAGGAAGATTAATGTCTGTAGCAAGGAAAACTATATCCTCCCCCTGCAGGGTGGTGATGGACTTATGCTGGTGCATCAGATGGGGCATGACGGCATCCAGAGAGCCTTGCCATTTACAGGAAGCACCCGGGCACGGACAGGAGTAAGGCCTAAACTCACAGAGCTCTTCGTGGTCTGCTTTTTCTGTGTGGGGCAGAGTTATTTCACATCCAGAAGAGGCATATTTACAAGGAAAAAGTACTGAATTGGCCACTTTTTCCATAGCCAAATTGCGAATGGATCCCAAGGGGCCCCGGCAAGTCGGACAACATGTGAGCTTTGGGCGACAGTTGCTACAGACGAGATGGCCACTCTGGCACTGGAGGATGGGTGGCAGCACATAGTCAAAGCAGACTGGGCACTCAAACAGACTGGCCAAGTCATTGTTGGACGCGGTTGTGCCGGTCAGGGCAGGCACCCTCTGGGATGGTGGACACTTGGAGGTACCGGTAGGTAATGCTGTGGCAGTCTGACGGCTCATTTCTGCAATAAAAAGAAAATAAAAATAAAAGGAGGCAGAAGGAAAACAATTACAACTACAACTTATTTTATGAATAATGTTCACATGCCAGAAATATTTTGTAAATTTCATGCAAAATTTACAGTGAACCAAAGGAAAATAAATATTAAAAACAGCATACCCCAAACCCCCCACTATATTATATACACTAAATGTATATTTTGACTAAAAGTTGTACACTGGATAAGCCTTTTTCTCCAAATGTTCTAGAACACATTTAGAATTCCCATTTTTTTAAGGGCCATCTTTGAACTATATAGATTAAAATGCGCTAACATAAACTGAACCATAACCAAGATACCACAGAAGTAGCTTAAGTTCAATCAAATCGGTTTTGACTAGAATCTGCCTCTCTGACATGAGTCCTCTGACTGTATCTTTGTGGATCAGAGTCAGTTGTTAACGGCTACAGGAAGTTACAGGTAAGTCCTATATGGCCAGCCCTCCATATCCACAGGGTCTTCACTCAAGGTTATTTAGCCAACTATGGACTGAAAATATTTGGAGTAAAAAAAATAAAATTAATACAAATTAAACGGTACAGTGTAACAACTGTTTACACAGCATTTTCACAGTATTAGGTTACTACAAGTAATGTAGGTTATGATTTAAAGTACACAGGAGGATGTGCGCAGGTTATATGCAAATAGTACACCAGTTTCTATCAGGAAATTTTAATCCTCAGATTTGCCTATCTGGACAGGAGGGAGGGATCCTGGGACAAATCTCCTGATGATATGAATGGAGAAGTGTAGTTCAAATACAAACAGACCATGAGAGAGTCAACTTAGATTAACTCTTCCTAATATTGAAAACAGCTGCTCTAGAGGTATTTTTTGGAGAGGAGGGGCTATAAAGGGAAAGTCCTACTGCTGTCATCCACCTTTAACAATTCCCCCGCAGAAGTTACCCGTCACCAGGGCCACCTCCAAAGGGAGAGAACACAGGCAGAATGGAGGGCCAGCCTCAAAGAAAACTTTCAGTTTAGTATTTGGAGAAAGTACATCATTTTCTTGTACTTCCATCCCGTGATTACAGATATAATGTACAAAAGAGAAAGACAGGTAAAGATAAGAGAAGAATAAAGATAAAAACACACACAGCACTGCGAAGAGCGGTGGAGTCAGGAGTAAAGAATTCCTTGCACCCAGAGCTTCACCAGCGTTGGAACGTTCACCAGCAGACTAATAAACTTAACAAGTCAGACCCAATAAACAAAGCAAGAGCCTCTCCCCAGGAATCTACCTTTGCTAGGATATGGCAAGCTACTACTTGCTCGGTGGGTGACAAAAGATCAGGGTCTGCTGATACCCTAAAAGTGAACTCTTAGTCACTGCGCTAAACCAAATTTATCCAGAATGAAAGCCTCAAATTTAATGTTTCTCAAGTGTAGCCATTATTCTGTTGCAATAACTTTCAAGAAACAATGCTGATTACTAATATGCCCAAGTAAATCCAATTTGAGTTCTAGATAACTCAAGTAGTTACCAACAAACACCTTAAATGGGGGGGGGGGTGTTGCAGAGAAATAGAGAGAGGAAAAGTGAGCCAGAATTTCATCACTCTGTGTGGCGGCTCATCACATGAACTCAGAACAGGAATCAACGCTCAGCACCTGAAGCCCTGTGTAATCCAGATAGTTCTGTCTCCTGACAAAGATACATACGGGGCGCTCCCATAATCGTTTCCCTGAGTAGATTCTCTGTATACAGGATGATCCATCCATTTTATGTTCCTTGTAAAAAAAGGACTGCCCAACCGCCCTGTCTGTATACTTTAAACTCATTTCACGGTAGTCTGTACTGCCCACTTAAGTGATCAACATAATTAGAAAGTGGTTCCTAGAGCACAAAACAGTCTAAAAAAAAAGGAGAAAGCCTTTCAAATTACTAAACCAAACAGCTAATTCACATAAAAGGGCAGTTTGTATTTAACACAATACAGCTACGGAGCAAAGAAAACACTGCTGTTCAATTTAACTAACAAAATAGTTACGCACTTATCAACAGCTCGGACTAACCTTATCTTCATTTTCTAAACTGTGTAAAACGTAGTTTAACTCCAATTTGCAGAAAACAAGTGAAATGTGTCTTATGAATGGTAATATTACAGAATATCAACTGCTAAAACCTCTAACTCTCCAAAGGTGGAAACTCAGCTCCATTTTGAAAGAGAAAAAGAATCCCAACCTCATATCTGTCCTGCAGTAACAACCAAGGACAATATCATGACATAACCTGAAGTTTGATTTAACAGACAAAAACAGAGGAGCAAAATTAAACATCCTTGTAAACGTGAGAAACTGATCTGCAGCATTTAAGTTCCAGTTTCAGCTACCCGGCCTCTTGGTAACAGTACCTTTTCTCCTCCTGGTCCTAGCCGCTGGTAAACAAGTGAGCAGGACTCCCCTCCAGGAGTACAGAAAAGGCAGGGCAGGCTTTCCCGTCATGAGAAGTCAGCCGGTGCATTGCGTTTCCTCCAAAAAGCAAAGAAGCCGCTAACAGGCCCCTCCTGGAAACCCCTGCCAGGCGCAGGAGACTCAAATTCGCGTCTGGGGACAGGCTCCGCCCATGCACTGACTCCTCAGGAGCAACAAGTTACCGAGGCGGCAAAAAGAAGCCTCTCAGTCCTCAGGAGGCAACCACACCTCCCTCTGAGCTCAAATTCGGCTGCTGCGTCTCCCGAAAATGGGAGCCATGGCCGGGCTGCGCCATGCCCTCAGCCTCCGGTTGTCTCAAGTTTGCGGTCTCCAGATTCACTGCCTGATCTCCTACCAAGCTAGGGTGAAGGCCGGGGTTTCAGGGTGCAGGCGCTGGCCGGGACCGGATCTGGAGCTACCGCAAGCCGGCCAGCGAAAGAGGTCGGAGAGAACCCGGGTCGGGCCGCAGCCAGAAGCCTGCTCCTGCCCAGCTCGCCGGCCGCGCGGACTCCGCGGCAGGGCGGCGGCTGGCCCCTCCCCCGCGCAGGGGCGGGGCCAGATGGGGCAGGGCTTAGACGGCAAGCCCCGGCCACCCGCCCCGGGCAGCGGGAGGGACTGCGCAGCTCGGAACCGCGCCACCCTGCCGCAGGCCCCACCCATCCCCGCTAAATCCTGCCCGCCGCAGCACTTCCACCACTTTAAACTCAGGTTGAACCATGGCGGTCTTGTAGGTCAAAACAGTACAACTTTGGCGATTTCTTTCTTTCTTTTTTTTTTTTT